CTTCTTACCCTCATCGGCAAGGCCAGCGTGCCTCCATCCGCAGGAACAATCTGAGCCCCTATCCCGCTCCCCACGAGATCTGGTAAATTAACACCACCCTGCCCCCATACTTCAGTGCAAACTTGTAGGTTTCCTCCTAAGATCTCCGAGACGCTTCCGCATGAGTCTCTAAAAGTACTCACCTGTCTGTTGAACTGCGCATGTCTTGCCCTTGAGATTCAGCGTCCCAGAGTGGGTACACGCAGTTCTAGTTCGTTTACGTGGGACACATCACTGTCACGAACTTAAGTACTAAATAATACCTCTTTTCGAGGGGGACATCACTACCACGAAATCAAGTACTGAGTATAACCTCTTTACTTAGGGGACATCACTGCCACGAACTCTAGGACTATATAACCTCTTTACGTGGGGGACCTAGTACTAAATATAACCTCTTTACGTGGGGGACATCACTGCCACGAACTCTAGTACTAAATAATAACCTCTTTGGTGAGAACAGAGAAAACGACAGTCAAATACTCACCCCTTGGGTCGCTGTCATCTTCCTCTGAGGTACTCATATTCAGAGCAGATTTTCTAACAGAGCTCTTGTCTTTGCGAACTTTACGCTTCCTCGCGGACACGCCCTCTTCCGGGGGTGTGCCAGGGGGCGTGGCAGGGGGTGTGGCATAGACCTCGGACGTTTCCCCGGCAACGGTAGCTTCCGGTACGTTCCGAGGGTGAGATACTCCTTCCGAAGCGGTTTTTTCTTCTCTGTCGTGGGCACCGTTAGTCGAGACTTCTTTGCAGGTTTCATTCGCTGCTAGGGTGGGCGTGGAGGAACTTTCCTTTCTACTTGTCGTGGTAGATGCCTTCAGGAGACACAAAAATTTGATCTAAATTATTTTCAAGCCACTTTGATTAATTAATTAAATCATACGATATGAAAAATGGGATAAAGGTGTAGTAGTATACACAAATGCTTCACGGGTATTCACACAAAAAGTATCAAACTCTAAAGGAATTTCGATAAAAGTTAGACAAATTAGTAATTTTTCCCTTTCAAATAAACTATAAACAGAGTAGCTTATACTACCATCATAGACCGTACTCCTCCACTCCCAGAGAAATGTAATAAGAGTAAGCAAAATTGAATATAAAAACAAGGAAACTTAGGACACAAATAAAAAAGCAATAAACAATTAATTACTTCATCTTGCCTCAAAAAAGAAATCGGTAGATATATGATCAAAACATGTTCAAAACTTACCTCAGTGTTTGACGTAACATCCTCTGACTCCGCCCCCCTCAGTCGCCTCAGCCTGGCCTGGAAACTTTCCACCTGGCCACCGTTCGCCGCTTCCGGCCCTCCACCGTCTTCAGAACTCCTCCTCGCTGAGCCGGTGTCAGCAGAGGCGGAGCTAGTGTCAACGGAGGCGGAGCCACTGAGAGAGATGTGGTCTCGCCATCTAGTGGAGGCAGAGCTACTTTCCGACACGCCCCCACCCAATTCTCCTGGAGCTGTACGTTTGACGTCATTATTCACTCCATTCACAACCGCCGGTGTGACGATGGAAGAAGAGGACGGGACGTCACCGCCTGCTTGTTCTTCTTCCCGCTCTTCAATGACGTCACGACGGTGTCGTCTGCGGACCGAGGATGAAGTCAGTGAACTAACTGAGAGGCTGTCAGAAGTAGAGGCGAAGGCCCTGGACGCGCTGTTATTATTCTGATTCTCCGCAGCGATGTCAGGCACCACGTCAAGAGAGCTTCTCCTATCCTCGCCTTCTACAGATCGTAAACTCTGTCCACTTTCCGCTGACTGGAAACAACTGTCCCGGCTGCTCAACCTTCTGTTTCGTCCAGCCTCCACCTCTTCACTACCAACTGTCGCTCCTATAGAGCCAGCCTCTTCGTCGCTTCCCCTTCTCCGCGACCATCGTCTACGCCCCTGATCCTCCCCAACGCTACTGTCGACACTGTCGGCAGAGATCACGCTATCCCGACTCCCACAGCGGTGTCGGCGATCCCCAGCCCCTTCCGCGCCCGAACCTCCGCTCTCCACCACCTCGTGTCTCCTTGAGGCGGCTCGACGTACCGACAAACGATCCTCGCCGTGATCCCCGTTCTCGACACTGTCCTGAGACAAAGCGCTGCTGTCTCTGCTCCGCCGTCTGTCTCGCAGCGTCCTGGGGCTGTCCACCGACCCTTCTTTCTCCTGGCTCGAGCTCTTCCCCTGTTCTTCAAGCCTCTGCGCCCTTCGTTTCGCAAGCCGCTCCGCCAAATCTGCAGAGCTGGTGTCCTCTGACCTCCGCCTAGTGGAATCTCTCGGGGACACGTCTGCGCTTCCTCTACGACCCTCGCATGTGCTAGTTTCCTCATGGTAAGACGATCTCGAGGTCTTCCCGGTGTAAGAGGTCAGCGACCCGGACCTTTCAACTCGAGAGGGTTCCACATCTTTCTGGTAAACCCTTGACCTCCAGCTTGAAGAATCCTCGGTCGAAACATCGCTTGTCCGTTCCAGCAGCTTCCTTCTTCTCCTAGCGTCCATGTCTTCTTCACTCCCGTCTTGTTCTCGTGCTTCTTCGACTTCATGTGTCACCGATGATTTAGCCGTCCGGACATTTTCGGAAGTCTCCTCCTGACTCTCTCGAGCTTTAAACTCTGGAGCAGAGAGCGTTGAATTTTCTGACGATGACGACCGAAGGAGACCTTGGGTTTTTTCTTCTAAATCTGTCGGATCTTTCTGATCTTTGTCACGCGGAGCAGAAACAGCTCTATCAAAGGAATCGACTGGCGTGTTTTCAAAATTATCAATGAGAGGGACACTGACGTCTGGCTTTGATACAGAACCAAATTCTTCAACAGATAAATTCCCTGCTCTCTGATTATTGCCTTCGTTAGAGCTCTCTACATTTGGACGAGGAGTTGTTCCCTGTTTGTCTGCGACGAATTCCGATGGGTCACTCTCCGGACGGACTTGCTGGACGTCTGATGAAGCCTGGTGTAGATTGTTGTTGCTTTTTGACCCCTCGTCCTCTCTGCTCTCTCTGTGAACAAATAGATAGACAGAAGGGAGATAAGCACAAGAATGGCAACACAGACATGACGTCACAAAATAGCACTGTAAATATATTATATAAACAAAGCTAGGGCGTTGTAGCTTTTTATCAAGCATTTTACGGCACTTGCAACACAATTAGTGTCGAAGATTAGGAGTGTTATAAGAGAGTAACAAACACAAAGAAGAATTGGGGGGG